ATGGTCCTTGATGCCCTAATCAAGATCAAGAACGAGATCGATCCGTCTTTAACTTTCAGAAGAAGTTGCAGAGAAGGGATTTGTGGATCTTGCGCCATGAACATCAACGGCTGCAATGGCCTTGCTTGCCTTACCAAAATTGATTCTGGAGCATCGAAGCCCACGACCATCACTCCTCTTCCTCATATGTTTGTGGTCAAGGATCTCGTGGTTGATATGACCAATTTCTATAACCAGTATAAGAGCATAGAGCCATGGCTTAAGAGGAAGACACCGCCTCCTGATGGGAAGGAGAATTTACAGAGTAAGAAGGATAGGGCAAAGCTTGATGGAATGTATGAGTGTATACTGTGCGCTTGTTGTAGTACTTCATGCCCTAGCTATTGGTGGAACCCTGAGTCCTATCTTGGCCCGGCTGCTCTCCTCCATGCTCACAGGTATGATGTGTTTGGAAGGATTTTAGGGTTAGGATTTCTCTCTCTCATTTAATTTTTCCCGAGAGTTTCCTCTGAATTGCCTTTCCTCTATGAATTATGGGTATTTTAGGGCTTCTATTTCTCATGTTTTTTGTGTATTTTCTGCATGATTTATTATCTGAATTTTGGGTTTTGGTCAATTTTTTTTATGATGGGTTTGTGACATTTGTCTTTTATTTTGCTTTCTTTTTTCGTAAATTCGGTCCCCTTTTTGGCCTTCTTGGTGTTGGTATACTGTAATTTGTAGTTTTTCTTTGCATATCTTTTTTGTTTTTTTATTTTGGCTGAATTTGGTCCTTTTGTGTTTGGTGCCGGTTTGGGTAAGGTTGAATATGCATCAGGGCCTAAATGGTAGGAGTTAGTCAGTTTCTTATTTTGAATAAACATCAAGGCCTAAATGGTAGGAGTCAAGTTAATTTCTTATTTTGAATTAATTCAATTAGTTAATTGTTATTGTGGTAGAGCTATTTGTTAGGATAGTTTCCTTAATAGTTCCTAACTGAATTTTAGGAAGATTTGATAGTTGTAGAGAGGGGACAAAAGGGCTGTACGTATATTTCAACAAGTTAGTCAATGAAAAATACTCTCTTCTTTCTTGCTGGAAATTGAGTTGCCCTCATGGAAGAGGGAATTTACTTGTTTTTTTTGTTATCTTCTTCTCCTTGTTATCTTCTTCTCTGAGGGTTATGGCCAACCACTCTTCCTCTGCGCCACTCTTATCTTCCATGATCCTTATCATTTGGTATCAGAGCAAACCTTGAACTTGTGGTGAGAAATCATGGTAGATGGAGCTAGACAACAAGAGGCGAGATTTGAGATTGAGTTCAAACAAATCAAAGAGAACAATAAGAAGCATGGTGAGGCTCTCCAAAACATTCAGCGGTTGGTGGCTGCCATCAATCTCAAATATGATGCCTATCATCAATCTGAAATGGGGGACTCGAATATGGCTACACCATTGTGAATGATGACGGCTGCTGGAACAGCCCGAACAAGGTTTGCGAAAGTTGATTTTCCAAGGTTTGATGGAGAGGAACCCTTGGGGTGGGTAGATAGGGTGGAGCAGTGTTTTGAATATAACAACACCCCAAAAGGCCAGAAAGTGGCCCTGGCCTCCATCCTCTAGAGAGGAAGGCACTCCAATGGTACCAATGGTTCAAGAAGACAACTGGATAGGTACCACGGAGTGAGTTTGTGTGCACAAGGTTTGGGCCTAATCCTTATGAAGATTTTGCCGCTGCACTTTGCAAGCTAAAACAAACCACCGCGGTTAATGCCTTCCAAGAACAATTCGAGCATTTGGCAACATGACCATCGGACTTTCCAATGACTTCTATGTTAGTTGTTTTATCAGCAGACTTAGGGAGGATCTACGGCCAGGAGTGCAGATGTTTTGGCCTATAAACTTCACGCAAGCTATTGGCTTGGCGCGACTACAAGAAGTGCACGATGATATCTTGAACTTATCTTGAACTGGCGCCAATGGTTTGGGATGGCCAAAACTAATGCCCCACTGGCTAGCACCAACATCCCAAAAGTGGTTGCCGCACTAGCTAAACCAACTAGTTCAATGGGGCTTCCACCGATCAAACGACTTTTATTGGTTGAGATGAAAGATCGAAGGGACCGGGGGCTATGCTACAATTGTGACGAAAAGTATGCCTCGGGCCACCGCTGCAGAGGGCAACAAATATACTTACTCGATGCCGTAGATGCTGAGACTCTTCATGAAAGTGGTGATGAGGCTGATGTTGAGCAAGACGATGACCCGCTGATAATGAGGAGGACCCAATTGTTTTTGTGAATGCCATATCTGTGTCAACTTCAACCCAAACCATGAGAGTGGGCTGTTTCATCAAACGACAACAAATTGTTGTTCTTATAGATTCAGGAAACACACACAATTTTCTAGACTCCGGAGTTGCCAAAAGAACGGGTTGTCTTGTGCAAGCTGCGCCTCCCTTGGATGTATCCGTAGCTGACGGTGGTAAATTGATTAGCAACACGATCTATACGGATCTCAAATGGGTGATGCAGGGCACCACTTTCTAAGGATCTCAAATGGGTGATCCAGGGCACCACTTCCTAGGCTGATGTGCTTCTCATGACTACAATTTACCCTTGAAGGAAAGAAACACACATTACGCGGGGCTTAGAAGGGTGCAGTACGTCTTGTTGATCCATCTCGCATGAGTAAGCTCATTAGCAAGGAGAAAAAATGAGTGGTGGGTCAGCTTTTCTCTTTGATCACAGCTGAAAATGAAGGGGCTGTCGATCCTGAAATGCATTCACTCTTGTCTGAGTATGAAGACATCTTTGCGGAACCTATGGGGCTACCGCCAGAACGCGAATTTGAGGTTGGAGATCTAGTATATCTTTGTTTCCAGCCCTATCAACAGTCCATTGTGGCAGTTCGCCATGCCATGAAGCTTTCTTTGAGATATTATGGCCCCTTTCCCGTCATTCAACAAATTGGGAAGGTGGCATACAAGTAGCAACTGCCCGATGGGTCTCGCGTGCACCCAGTGTTCCATGCATCCTGCTTCAAAAAGAAGTTAGGTGATCGAGTTGTTATGCATGCCAGCTTGCTTGAGACTGATGAAGACGGAGCATTCAAACTTGAGCCTGATTCAATCTTGGACCGCAGGCTAGTTAACCGAAGAAATGAGTTGTGACAAAAGTCTTAGTGCAATGGTCTAACATGGACCTTGCTGATGCAACACGGGAAATTTGGCATCTTCTAAAAGAGAAGTATCCACACTTTCAACCTTGAGGACAAGGTTGATTTCAAGGGGACAGGAAAGTTAGGTATCCGTTTGGGTAAGGTTGAATATGCATCAGTGCCTAAATGGTAGGAGTCGGTCAGTTTCTTATTTTGAATAAGCATCAAAGCTTAAATGGTAGGAGTCAAGTTAGTTTCTTATTTTGAATGAATTCAATTAGTTAATTGTTATTGTGGTAGAGCTATTTGTTAGGATAGTTACCAAATAGTTGCTAACTGAATTTTAGGAAGATTTGATAGTTGTAGAGAGGGGACAAAAGGGAGATTTCAAAGGGTTAGTCAATGAAAAATACTCTCTTCTTTCTTGCTGGAAATTGAGGTAGCCCCCCTGGAAGAGGGAATCTATTGGTTTTTCTTGTTATCTTCTTCAAAAAACTGCTTGATCCTTATCATTTTATGTAATGATCCTAAGTGGTTTAAGGGCCTAACTTTTTGTGTTTCCATCACTCAAGGGTTTTGGGGTGTATTGGTTAAGGACCTAACATATGGTATCAGAGCAACCACTGCGACCTGGGTTCAAATCCTAGGAAAGGGCTGCTTGAATAAATAAAAATTAGAGTGAGAGCTGCCATAGAGTGAGAGCCGCAGAGGACGTCGGCTGTGGAGCGTGGTGGTATGTAATGATCTTAGGTGGTTTAAGGGCCTAACTTTTCGCGTTTCCATCACCCAAGAGTTTTGGGGCGTATTGGTTAAGTACCTATCATTTTGTCATTTCTTGGTTTTGGGTTTTTTAGTTGGGTGTTGAATCTTCCTTAGAATTTGATTGGTTTTGTGTGAGTTCCCCCTTTGCCTGATCGATACAATTGTAAAATTTATATTTTGCGCTTGTAAGATAGTTTTCTTTCCCATTTCTAGGGTCTTATTAAATTTCTTACCTTCCTTATTCGTTTTTGGTTAATTAGCCACCTATTTGTTAAAAAAGATTTACACTATCTATTAACCATCTAGTTTGGTTAGTTTGCCATCTATTTTCTTTGTTTCACTATTTTCACCTTTTTATTTTTTCTGGTTTTTGGACGCCCCCCCCCCCCCTCCCAGGGGCAGTGTGTGGGAGGGGGGATGGGGATTTGAGGAATTTAGTCTGATTTATTAAGATCTTTTATCTTGTTATCCTGGCATGGAGTTTCAAGTGCAATTTGTATTTGTTTATATGTTTATTTTTCTCTCTGGAATATGCAATTTCTCCTGCTTTGGTGTATGGAATTTTCTTGACGTTCTGTTATCTTTGTTATTGTTGTTGTCATTGTTATGGGTTTTGCACTTTTGCTTGATTGTTTAAATTTTCAGTCTATATTACCCTTGTAGGGCTGTATCTGCTTAGTCATAAAATTGTTTTCCCTTTGTATCTGTAACATTTGCAGAGTGACCTGTGTACCTGTTACATCTGCAGCATGATGAAAATTGCTGCAAAATTTTTTCCTTTTGCTTTCTAACATGAAAATATTTTCCTTTTCTTTATAGCATGAAAATAAGCCATTTTATTTATCCTGTTAGATTTTAATTTGAAATTTTTTTATGTGGAATGTGGGCTTGTCCACTATAAAAACGATGAATGTTTATTGCACCACCACCACCATATAACTTTATTAGGATTTTTGTTGATGCTGATTTTTGTTCATTGGTTATCACCACCGCCACCACCATTATGTGATTATTGCAATCATTATAACTTTATTAGGATTTTTGTTGATGCTGATTTTTGTTCATTGGTTATCAGTTATTTTCTTTATAGCTTATTATGACCAGGGATTAGGTATCAATCCTGTGGGAAATATCAGCATGCCTTGGTGCAACGTTAAGTCTAGATTGTCTCGAAAGTGCGCTTTTGAGTATATCCATCCTATACTGTCTCCATTAATTAAGTGGAATTCTTGAACAGACTTTGGGTTTGAATAAAGGGTTCACAATAGCTTACTTATTAAAACCCCTCCCCTACACAAAAAAAAAAAAAAACCGTATAGTGGTTCAAGAAATTGATGGCTGGTTTCATCAAGAAAGTCTGAACTATGACGTGCACTGTCCTACTCAGGGAGATGCTAAGGTAACCACCCCCAAGTGTAATGTGGGCAACAGAAAAAAGAAACTTGAATTAGAAAGAACTGAAATAAAAATATAAAATCAGTGGGCCAACTACTACTATAACAGAGTTGGAAAATATTGATTAACTTGATATGCTGGGGTGGTGGAAGCTGTCATGAATCCATGTTTGCCACTAAACCATATTACTTACGTGCAATTCACAATAAATATTTGTTCCCAGATCTGCATGCCTATGGATGGAGTCCAAAGGCCCATATGTTGTTAGTTGCTTTCGTGAAATCCGATCAACATCACTGGACTTGGAATTTGAATAGAAGCATGTTAGAGAACCCTTCCTAAATAGGGAGTCTGAAGGCCTGATGTCCAGCTGTTTGTGTTGTTTCATCGTCTTTTCCTTTTGAATAGATAAGATCATTGGGGATTGGGCGATGTTGCATGGCATGTGCATCCATATTGAATAGATATGATTATTGGGAATTAGGACAGTTGGAGTAGGAAAGGAAAAGAAACAAGAGATAAAGACACATAAGGGTTAGCGGTGGTGCAAAAGAGTCCCCATTGAAGAGAGAGCCCCCTTCTGTTCACTCTCATGCAGGAGTCTCTCTCCCTTATTTAGCTTCTCAGCAACATGGGGATAATAAATAAGTTGCCTTTCCCCTTTCAGATATTGACTTTTCTCTTGGGGCAACCCCTTTATCTACTGGCTCATCTGATAATTGCACATCTCCTTCAGAAGTAAGGATTATTTGAAAAATTGGAATGAAAAGGAGCCTATTGTCCATCAATAGCTCGCATACCCCCCTGCCTTTATAGAATAATAGATACGAAATTGGGTCTGGGAAGTTCTCAAAATTTGTTTTAGGGCCAAACAACTCATCATGAGCCAGCATGTATAAATCTGGCACTCGTGGCTTCTACGCACATCCCGACAACGAGGCCGAAGTGTTTAGTATGTCCTTTTGAGTTCTGAGGCTTTTGGAAGTTCTACTTGGAAAGCTGTTTGTAGTTGAATGTTTCTGGTAGCCTTAAGGGCAACATTTGCAGGACTGGATATATTTATTTTGCATTTGCACTTGGATTTTCATTAAGATGCATAATCCATGTTCGAATTCATAGTTGCTTCGTCATGTAATAATGCTCAGTATATCTTTGGCTGTTTTCCAGCCAGAGTGGTTGGCCGGAGCAGCTAGATTTTATACTTCTTCAGGATTTGCATGTTTTGGGACTGTGTTATTGAAATGGAAAGTCCGTGTATACTGGATTACGTTATTCAAGTTTGCACATTGTTGAATACTTGAATCATGTCTACTTCTGGAGCTCAGTTCCTGTAATTTCAGCCTTTGATTACTGTCTTGCTCTGGTCTGAATGTTACTGAGCAACTTTCTTTTTATTTTCTTATTTTTTTTGTTATTTTTTACCATTTAAACAAATATATTTAGTCTGTTGCAAGCATCCTGAAAGTATTTTTGTCTATTGCTTGGACATGCAAATATTTCGTCTTTTGAATTAGATATTCAGTCTGTAATATATTGCCAACAAGCAGCCAATTATATTAAATGTATAGTTGCATTGCTACCTGGCTAAAAATAAAGAAAATTATCAGTTTGGTCATTATCTCGGTCTTCAAGGTGAGGATCGAGATCCCTAAATTTGATTATCGAGATCCTTTAAAAATCACTTTCATGGAGTGCTGGAGCAAGATTCCTAAAATTAATCTCTCTATCAAATAAGTAAATGTTCATGGAAAGTTCATCTGTGGCTGTAAATTACATGCAACTTACAACCCAGTTAATGATGTATTTTTAGGTGATACCCATTTATTAGTGGTATTGTGTGTGTTTGTATGTATCAACCTTCGGATATTTTAACAACTGTTCCCATTTCTGCAGGTGGATAAGTGACAGCCGTGATGAGTACACCAAAGAACGATTGGATGCTGTGTGTGACGAGTTCAAGCTCTACCGTTGCCATACAATTTTGAACTGTGCCCGTGCCTGCCCTAAAGGCCTGAATCCCGGCAAGCAAATAGCGACGATTAAGAAGCTTCAAGTTACAACTGGATTTTAGAACTATTCAGGGTAAGAACTCATTCAGTATTGATAGGGCAATATGCCCCTCTCTCTGTCTACTGAGTTCATATAAATTAATAACCCCAAACGAGCATGTTCTCTTTTTTGCTTGTGAATTGTATGGGGCTCTGAATTAGTATGATTTTGAGCTCTTCAATTGTCTGATTAAATAAGTGTTTTGCTACTTGCCTTCATGTATTGAGAGGGGTCATATTCTTATTGTAATTTGTAAAGGAGCTTTTGGCATTTTATCTTTTTGTGGTGTGTGGGGTCTTCCAATGATCCTATGCTATCTTTATGCATGAATTGTTTTGTATGTTTATCTTGGACATGTGCAAATGCAGAAGGAAGAAGGCGTGAAATACACCCTTCCCTACAAAAAAAAGATTTGTTATGCTTCAGTGTTCAGATCAATGTTTTTCGGCAATCCAATATTGGAAAGTTGACGCCTTGTTAATTTTAGGCTTTTCAGGGAAGGAGTCATAACTCTTTTATTCTGATCAAGTTCTTGGAAACCTTTGCCTCTTCAATCCAAACTTTTGTTATTATCCTTTCAATTCATGCTTGTGTATTTTGCATCAGAGGCCATAGTTTTTCAATGCGTGCTTTTTGTTCAAAACTTTTGAATGTGACTAAACTTCCAAAAAAAAAAAAACATTTGAATGTGACTAAATCTTAACCATCCAATAATCATAAAAGCAAAGTGTTAAATACCCATCTGCGTGAAAAAGATTTGTATGCATCATGAATGTAAGATAGGGCATTAAATTATAATGAAGGATAATTTGTGAAAGCATGTAACTTCTCATATCTGTGTTAGGTTTCAATGTTGTATCTTCAGAGAGAGAGAGAGAGAGAGAGAGAGAGAGAGAGGACGA